AAAACCTGAGAATCGTCCTATACTATTTTAGTGGCCCTTTGTCTTACTCCGATTGGATCGTATGAATGATTGCTGTCAATATATATATATTGTCAATCCTGGTATATAATTATCTAATTAATTCACATTAGTGAATAACAAAATTAAATAAGTCAAATACGAGAAAGGATTTCGAATACATATATTTTGTACAATCATTAATCTGGACAGACAATCAGAGGAACGAAACGAAGAGAAGAGAGCAAGGCGAAATGGCGCGCGATGGAGAAGGCGTGCGAGCCAATTCGATTTAATCAAGCGTCGGTCGATAATTGTAGCCAGATAAAAATAGATTACAGACATGTAATGAATAGGATAAGAAGTATACACACATACTTTCATATAAAAACAGTCAAGGTTGATAAGCAAATAATTAACAAGGTCAAAACGTAACTCAAGAAGAATGGATGGATCGACCTGTCCAGAAGCTAGAATAAGTTATATGGGCTTAACATAGTGACCGACACTACAAATATAATATTCCTGTACCCTCACTTCGTTTCTTTACGTCCTTACTTTACTCTTAATGTTACTATTATTATTATTGGTCTCATTGATTTAGATTTTGCTTTGTTTATTCATCTCCTTTCTATATTGTTAAAATTTACTTAAATTATTAAGATTTGAATCAGTGCGCAATTAGATCAAGTTTCATGGTATCTCTGTCGCTCAACAAGTCTAAATCAATTTAAATTGATTCTAAACTGTGATAGTAATAAATTGATGAATGTAAACACTAAAATGACACTGGCTTATTTTAAAATGATAAAAACTACATCACATCACATTACATGTCACACTTTATCCATTATAATCTTTCTCAATAGTCTGATAGATTTAAACTGAAATTTCTATACTATCCTGTTTTCTTAGATCTCTTTTACATTTTAGCTAAGATATTCGTAATTCATATATATTGGTTGTTTGGATCTTGATATTCAGGAATGCAATTGATCAGTTTCCACAGCTAACCACCATCCATTTCTGCTCAGAATATTTATGGATTATTGGTAATATCGATGCAATCTTCACCGGATGTACACATGTGGAAAGAAGTTGATCAAGTGCAATTCTATACATCAATGGGAAGATCCAAATAACCAATAAAAATGAATTAAACTTCACCCCACTACAAAAGCTAGTGGCTATCTGGATTCAGTAGCTAAGTGAACAATGCGGTGCCGTTTGAAGCGAAGGCACTTGGTTCGAGTCCCGGAGAGAACATCAAGTCTGGAATAAAGGTACGTCCAGCTGACGAGTCCCAAATAGGACGAAACGCGAGTCCTGGATCCCGCTGTTAGCTGCTATCCATCGTTACTCAATATATTTGTGTGGCAAATTCTTTGCTACAGTTTCATCATTAATGTTATGGTTGGATTAAATCACAGCTGAGATGGAGTTATAAAGGATGATTCGATAAGTGAACAAGGTTCATAATTGTTAAAGTGAATTAACATAATGGCGATTGACAGATGAAATGCAATGACATGACGGCGGTATGACAGCTGCTCAACCGCCGGGGAGAACTGGTATCAAGAAAAAGTTCACTAACCAAAATAATAGGTGTTTATTGCGTAAAATAACAGGAAACTAGATATGACTAGACATTATAGGGGATTAGAAGCAACCAGTTTTGTAGGTCACTAACTCTCCAGCATCCGTAAGGTCTAATTCTTGCCCATCAAATCAATCAGATAAGCCGATCTTCGTTTATCGATAGGAGATATCGGATGCTCTTCACTAAACAGTGATCCACTAGTGTAGTTATTAGTCGATAAGTATCCTCCTATTTTTATCTTGCCAGAGACCTTTTATCAAGTTACATTTATTATTTACGAAGTGAATTACACCAAAGTAATAAAAAGAACGCTTTGAGATATTTTAGCTTGTTTTAAATATTTCCTTGATTGGCAGAATAAGTACTTTCATACAATTAACCAAGGGTAATAAAATTAATTGATTTATTCTACAGTCTTCTTGTGCCGAAAATTATCTAAGGAATGACATGTGTTTGATGCATATGTTTTGGACAAAGTAGATCCCCATTCTCATAAAGACTGACACTGTTTCTGATGCTTGAATTTGTGTTATCCAGTCATTTATATCATCCATAACATCACAGTAGAGATAACTTATGTAATCCCGAATCTAATAACGAAATCCGACTCTCTCGTTAAAAATTATTTAATTTTCATTAGGTGCTACGAGATAAGAACATGAATAAAGAGAAGAATGATTATTGTACAATTTATAGGCTATTCCGATTTGTGGTTTATATCATTGTTATTAAACGATTCTCTACTCAACCATCTGTATGATACGAAATGATTTAAAAGAAAGAATCCACCAATAAAGAGATCAAATTACAACTCACTAAATGATAAAATCCAATTTTCAGTTCTTATTAGAAACTAATACATATATAAAGAGGTAGTTTAATATTCAAGGAACTCGACTTTTAACCACTGGCTTTTCGGTTCGAACCACGCCACACTTCAATTAAGATGGCCGAGCAGTATCACAAATCTTTACATTAAAAGTGTGTGATTCGATGCCGTATAAACGAACGTATACCAAGTAATTAACTTAAATTACCAGTTCTCAAGGCAGAATATCTGAGTTAGCTAATCAGAAATCCTGTTTTCAAAACCTTTGAACAAGTGACAAATCCCAAGGGAACCGAATGATGTATACCTAGATTAATTCATTATTTCTATGTTTCTTGTAGCTTAAGATCATTATAAAAAGGCTTTTGACGTAGATTATATACATACATCAACAGGTTGTATATGTAACCTTGAGTATACATATACTATTTCCAAATAATTAACAGTAGTACACAATATAAAAAACAATTCGTAAAGGGTTGTGCACTACAGTTGGAGTTTTCGTCTGTGATTCAGTTTTTAAACTAGCTCGTTTGGTTATTTGAGCAGTAAGTTGAACTGTTCAGTATCAAACAAAGTGGTCACGATCGAAGCCTTATTAACAGAAATCATTCAGGACTAAGGTTTAGACAATGCGACGTTAACTACTACCACGTGACTCCTAATCATATTAATTTTGTTGCCTAATTGTAAGTATTTTATTCACCAAAGAATGACAAATGAAAGACTTCTAACTATTTCATTTAAAATTTCCTGGGTACAGAAGAGATAAACAATTTTTTTAACCAAAGAAATCAAAGCACCATCAATCGATAAATCATTTATAACAGGAAGGTTAACATGAGTAAAAAATGATATGAGTAGATATTGAAGAAATAAATATAGAGTAGTATATTATTAAATATTTAAGCAAAGAAAAAGATACTTACGATTCTCTATTTGCTCGACCTCTGGTTAAATCTTGATAAGAAATTGAGCTTTCCCATAAATACAGAATGTGAGGGTTAGGTCAATAAATTAATTGTAATCTATGGTTGAATATATATAATAATACGGTTCAGGATTAGTCGTAGTAGTTCGTATACCTTCACCCTTTAATTTCCTTCAGAATCTTAAGTTTAGTGTACTTGAGTAACTCCCATTCGTGGCAACTCGAACTGATGTACGTACGTACGAAGTTCTACGTTGTTACTGACTGACTGACCCATTCGTTACATTTGAATCTCATATTTCCAGTGCGATTGGTGTTGGTTTTCCTAATATGTTTTGCATCTTGTTATTCACTTTTCTCGTCATGGTATCAAATACTGGTCATTTGAATCGATACATATTAATGATAAGTTCTGCGTCGTCAACGATTGCTTGGCATGAATATCAAAACGGGAAGCCTGTCGCATTAGTTCCGCTCAAAGTCTGAAATATTAAATTAACATTCCGACCTAAGCGGAGACTAGATGTGACTCAATTGAGTAACTGCGTATTGCGGCCGCTTCAGTTAATATGGATAGAAAGTCACCCTTGCAATATTCATTGGGATTAGCTTAGGATATTTCCTAAGATCTGATTCATGAGAAATAAAAATTAAAAAGAACCTAACAACTCTCCATACTTTAAGACGAGTGACTTTTATGTTTTGAATCAATGAACTATACAGCCAATTCTAAGCTGATCCAATTCAGCATTTAAAAAGTAAGGCATTCGATTACTTCACGATCTATCCTTAGGTCAGGTGTTGACACAGGCCAGTCCTGAAGCAACAACTTGCATTTAGAGTTGGAGAAACGCATCCCAAACATCCTGGCATTGCCACTCAGTGCTACCGAAAGACTGCATTTTATCAGCGTCTTCACCAAACAGGACCGTCATCTGCGTATTCTAAGTCGATAAGCGGACCTCCTAGTAGATCAATTACCCAAAATTCTGACAATGAGAACGTTATTTCCATCAGTAGGTCTATGGCGGAATTAAACAAAAATGGAGATAGTGGACAGCCTTCTCGTACACCGATTGAGGTCGAAAAACCAGATGACATTTCGACTAGTAGTGTTCGAGTAAATAGCCTTCACAAAGTTTATGTACTTCTGAGGTACACCTTTCAATGACAGACACTACCACAGAACCTCTCGGTCTACAGAGTCAAATGCTGCTTTTATGTCAAGAAAGACCACCATTGTCGGACGCCGATAAGCATGACTGTGTTTTAGAGCCTGACGAATGGTGAATATGTGGTCGATGCAGTCACGATAAGGTCTGAAGCCAGTCTGGTGTTCTCAAATTTGCAGTTCACGAGTCTTAATTAGGCGCCCGATAATTATTGAGGCTAGTATTTTAGATGCTATGTTGGTCAAACTAACCCCTCCATGGTTATCACAGGATGATTTTGATACATTGGGACGATCAGTGATTGAGGCCAGTCACATGGGACGACATTCAGTTCACAAATCTCAGCTAAAATATTAGCCACCAGGATCCCGTATGTGTTTCGGAGACAGCATACATCAACGGTACGAGGCTTTAGGGTCTTAGCCAAGGACGCCTGCTGGTTGACTTGACATACGTTGAAGGCTCCAATGTGTAGTTTGGAGCGAGGTTTCAGTAAATCTGGGACAGTGTTTCACGCACTAGAAGTGTTGGCCATGGTGACACTTGAGGAGGAATTCGAAGAAAGAAGTTTGGAGTTAGTAGTCAAGGTAGGAGGAATAATAGAAACCGAAGAGGGAAGTTGATTATGAATCCAATGGTCTTAAGTGCTGTTAGAGGTATGAGGGCAGTTATAACTTCCCGGTTGTCCACACCGTGGAGAGGTCCTTCTAGAGGTACCTGAAAAGGAAATTGGGTTAGAGTTGGTCTTAGTGACCCGAGAGCGTGACCGCAGTGCCCAAGTGGTAACCGCTTGAGGCCGGTCACAATAGGAGATAGACTGAACTTCAACATCGTAGGTCAGTAGAAACAAACATTAATCACTGCACTACACCTCATTTCCCCATCATCCTTTTCGTCAAGATAAGCATTGAGTGCTCGATCCACTTCCTACTGATGCGCCTGGAAAACATTATGGTAATATAGCAAAGACCTGCAGCTTAATATGGTGCTTTATTCTCAGAACTAAATGGTTTAGTGGAAGCTTCGCAATCGAACCGAGAGAACATCACATCATAGTAATGTTGGAAAGAGCCCTGGTTCTGAGTTCGTACGTGGGACACAGATGAGAGTGTACCACCGACAACCGATTATGAATTAAGTCGGTGTATCAGGGTTAGTCATAGTGCATTGACAACTCAACATTAACAACATAAATTTTGGCACGACTTAGAACACAAATGGTAAACTTCAATGACTACCACCGTTCCTTAATCGGGCTAACCAACTGCGACTGAATTCCTTACTAGTCTCAGTCAAAGCCAACTAATGAAACTGTTATCAGCCAAATGGAGAGACATCTAGCCATCAGTTTCTAAACACTAATTTCATCAAACAGCTCGTGCCTAAACTTTCCGCTCTACATTGACACCATTAACTTAAGGGTTATAGTACGAACCAATCTTAAGGACCTTTTGAGTAACAGGTGTCCCGCAACCATAGACAGCATAAACCTGGGGATATGCAACCATACACATTTGAAAAACCCAACTCTTAACCATCTAGAGAACATGAGTTTATGGCTGGAACGGAATCTAGAACACGTGTGTAAAAGCCAACACTGATTGGATCGGGAGGTAGTGATTCTAGGGCTAGTCTCGGCCAATATCCACTGTTCATTGTGGTAGTCGGATTTTCATCTCTCTGCATAGGCAAATATACATATATACTGAGATTCTTGTCGCCTAAAGTGCTACTGCAGCCCGGAAACCACTTCAAAAGTTTTAAAAACAAGAACATGTAACAGCTTTTGGGACTTTAGTGGAACCTAAGGACCCAATCGGACTTGTCAAAATGAGAGTTGCACACTAAAAACAAGATATAAATTAGGGCAAAAAGTTCAATTAGTTTGAGAGAGTATACTAAACCGTTTCTAACAGACTTATCATTGATGATGTACTTATGAGGATAGCTGAATGAATCATACGCCTAATCAATTATTTTGGTCTTTAGAATACAAATGTAGGTAGGTACAGCTATAAAATAATCAAGGTTACATACTTCTAGGACAGAAGTTGGAGATGAAGCACCGTTGGAAGAAAGCCTCATGAATAACTGTATTTGTATTAGTTACACCAAAAAATGTAGTGACATCGACACCCTATGATGTATATAATAACTAAAAACTCATCTTTTTCGAACCATATTCTTCATGTTTAGTTTTAGTCATTGACACTAATACTACATGACTTCGACTTATTTGGTATTTTTGTTAATTTCAACTCGCCGTCCTGAAGTGGCATGGCAACTTGGGCTAACACACATTTATTCTAGGCTGTATGTTAATTATGACATACTATATAAAACACCTATAAATAGAGAAGATGCGGTTTCTAACATGAGCTGAAAAACATAACCTTCTGGTATATATTAAATAATCTATATTATATACAATTTACAATGAAATTAAAATAACACGTTCACTGTACAGTTGCCTTTGCAGTTGCCTGAGCTTTTATTTTATGCATACGGTGATATTTCTCAATATACAGCTTTACAAATGCGCTTATTTTTTCGGTATTGATTGAAGATGTACCACTTCGCGAAATCTACAATGAACTAGTATACATTTACTGATACCTCTTACCTTAGTAACAGCCTTTTTCATGATTTCTTTGTAATCTTCTTTATTAATACGTCGTAGAGAGTATGCAGGCTTTAAAACTGATTTTACTTCCAAGGCGATACGTTCTTGCCACTCACGACGTGAAGAGAAGTCGTATCTTTTCCGCTTTGCTAGTACTTCCTCAATCTTCATGTCTCCAAAAGGTTTCTTACTTTCCGTTTTAGTTTCTCCACATGCACCATTAGGCAACACTTTGTCACCGATTTCGTTGTTAGAAAACGGATTAATTACTGCTGGGAGTGGAGGAGGTACGAATGAATGTGACAGAGTAGAAGTGGTTGGCGGCAGCTCATTATGTTGTTGGAATGGTAACGGTGGTGGAGGAGGAGGTGGCAATGGATCAGAAGATGAAGTGTCTACATCCGTTCTTTGGTTACCTGCAAGTTGGTTTAAAAGAGAACTTGCAGCCGAGCTTAACAGTTTGTTGATTTGTTTCATGGGAGAGCTCTCACGAACAGAATCAGGTTTGTCATTTGGTTTATTATTTAGATTTAAATCGCTTAGTGTATTACAAGGTAGACCCGCCTTGCTCATTAAGGTTTCTAAGAGATTAGAAGCTGGAGCCTGCATCTGTTGCGCAAATGTAGGGGGTGGTGGTGGTGGGGGTGGAGGAGGTGGAGGCAGAGCAGTAGTTTGGAAACCAGGACCCGACATTACCATAGGCAAGCTCGGCACTGATTGCATGCACTGACCGGGAAAAACTGAATTAGTCCCAGGAAGCATAGTTGTACTCAATCTCGGGACGATCAAAGGAGGTGGCTGCATAAAATTCGGAGGCATTGGTGCACTGGGATATGGTATTACGCCTGATGGGAATGTTGAAGTGGAAATCCCCATAAGTCCATAGTTATTTTGAGGAAAACGCATAGGATTATAATTCATTTGTGGGATCCTGTGCAGAAAAGCCGAGTTGTTACAAGAAGCATTTTGCCACCTGGTCAAAGGTTGTACAGTGGATCGCGGTTGACTTTGAGGGAATATATCGACAGTAACGTTAGGGACATGCTTCGCATCATTCAACTCTGTAGGGGAATTAGTTGGTTCAGTCGTTATGACTGCCTCAGGTGCGGACTGTTCCTCCACATGTTTTGAAACGTCCCAACGTACCGAGTCTGAATCTTTGTGTCCGCCACAAACGAAAGAGTCACGCTCCTTCGCTTTATATGAAAAATTTGGTTCATCAGAAAACCGGGAAACACGTTTTTCATTAACCGACCTTCTTGATTTAGCTGGGGATCGCGAACGAGAACGTGGACCTGGCAGGCGTTCAACTACTCGAGAATGTCTTGGAGGTGTTCTAGATCGGCTCCGTCTGCGTTCGTTGGAACGAGATCTTGAACGGTGTTTGCGGACACGGTGCCTTGAATGAGATCTGGATCTCCTACTTGTTTTATCCTCGAACTTATTACCTCTTTTAGGAGAACGTGATCTACTCCTACGGTGATGGGGTTGGACAGACCGTTTGTGGACACTGGACGGTCTTGTGTGAGCCCGATAGTCGTGCTTCGTCTCTTTGGGAACATTTTCTTCAATTGACTTAACTGAAAAAGGCGGAGCGCACCCTCTCTCTCCTGATGAATTATGTTCGTTGCTTACCTCAAAGTGTGGTCCCTCCTTGTTATGGTTCGATTGAAGAACATTAGTATCCTGCGCACAGTCAAATGTATTAGAGTTAAAAAGCAATGGCACAACATCGCTAAGAGACTGGTCAGGAGGTAACTGGTTCTGATTAGCATCTTGTTCCGGAGTTGCAGGAGAATTAGACTCTAAATCCATATCCTGATCAGTCGGATGTGATGGACTATAAGGATCCATGTTAAATAAATATCCAATACAAATTAATTTTTCCCGATCAAGATGATTGTTGTAAAGTTAATCCCATTAAAATCCAGCACCATATCTAACTGAGGCAGGGGAATCAAAAAGTCAGCACCCCTCCAGGCGGAGAATTAAAACAAAAGCGTATCTCAAGGCTGATTCTAAATCATTAGTGAACGTAAGATCTATGTGTCAGGAGTAATAATTTAAGACAGAACCGATCTCAGAAACCACCAGGAACCAATTTTCTACTTTGTTGATGGTGTCAATTTTGTCAGAATGGAGTAAGTTTCAGGTTCGGATTTGTGTAGTAAGGACAGAAGGCCTACTACCTATGTTATTTCTTTCCTAGTATGCCTCTGTGAGTTTCCAGTCTTCTCTTGAAGAAGTCAATTGAAGGTGTGGACACCACTGCTTCGGGCAGCAGGTTCAAGTATTGATGGCTCCGTGTGAAAACCTGTATGCCACGAGTAGTTTGCTCGTTCTTGGCTTTTCTACTCGCCTGCTATGTCCTCTGAGATGTCCCGATCTAGTGGGAAGGAAAAAAGGAATGAGTTAGGTCCAAAATCACTTCTCAGTATTCTGTACATCAAAATAGCTCTCTCCTAAACCTGCGATAGGACTGAGTAAAGAGGTCCAGCTTTTCAAGCCGCTCTTCGTATGGTAAACCCCAGAGTTCCGGAATTGCACGAGTAGCTTCCCTCTGTACTTTTTCTAGTATGTCCGAGTCACTTTTTAAACAGGGGCTTGCAGCCTGAGCGCAGTTCGCAAGCTTAGCTCTCACTAGGAATGTGTATACTGTGGTGAACACGGTAGTATCTAACTTAGTGAATGTCTGTTTTAAAGCCTAGAGGGTTCGAAACCCCTTGGCTGCGACCTCCCGGCAGTAGACCGTCGTCTTAAGATCTTGACTCACTGTCGCCCCTAGATCCTTATGAGACCAGACAACGGGTTATGGCACTTTCCCTATGTTGTACCTATTAACCTTTGAATCCCCAAAGTGCTTTTAGACACACTACGCCGCGTTGATAGGCATCAGCCACTCTTTAGACTTGCTAACTATATTATTTAAGTCTGCCTGAAGAGCACACGCGTCTGTTTCCAGTTATTACTTGCCAGATTTTCACATCGTCAGCGTATAATAACATCGCGACTGTACTGTATTTGCGAGATCATTAACACATGGTATAAACAGTAAAGGACCTAGAACGGAACCTTGAGGTACTACACTAAGTACTCGGAATTTATTCTTACTTTATGCCTGCGATCTACTAGGAAATCCTTAAGCCATTCTAAATGAGGTCCGGGAATACCAATATTTCCCAACTTCAATAGCAGTCTATTAGTTGGCATCTTGTCAAAAGCCATAATGAAGTCTATGTAGACAACATCCACTGAGTTTCCACTGTCTAGCGCCTCTATCCAAAATTCCGTTGCTATAAAGAGGTTCATTGTACAAGGTAAACCCTTTCCAAAACCATGTTGTTTGTTGTCTGAGAAGTCATTAGTTTCCATAAATGTCATTATGGTCCGTTTGACAATTCTTTCCAATATTTTAACTACAACACTGGTGAGGCTTACGGTCTGTAGTTCGATGGAAGTTGTCTTGGTCCTGTTTTATGTATGGGAGTGACGATTTCGTCCTTCCAGTCCAAAGGTTACATACCTTGATCAAGTGACATATTGGACATCACAGTCGGTGGGGCCGCGATATATTGTGCACTATGTCACAAGATTTTAAGGTATAGTTCACCTGGTCTAGTTGACTTTTCCATGTCCAAGATGCTAAGAGCCTTAAGTACACCGTCTTGATCGAAGTCCACGATGAGCGGGTGGTTTGTTGACTGGTTCTTTCTCTAGAGGAGGTTCCTGAGTGAAAACTGCCCCAAAATAGTCAGTCATAGCCTCTGCTTTTTCCTGATCTCCCTTTATCATTTCAGATTCACTCCCTTCTTTAACAAGTTGGGAATCTAATGATGCATCCTTGTTCTGCAGTTTATGTACGAGAATATTCCCTTGGTTTGCTTGATTGCAGATTGTATCAACTGCATTTCATATTTTCTTTGAGCTTCCCGAATTTTCGTAATACACTTGTTTCTTATGGATTCGTAGCGTTACATTGTACCTACTGTGCCAAGGCGGATGGCAACATCCCAACATTTCCTCTTTTGTCTTCGTAAACGTCGAGGGATGGTCACGCTTCTTCTTCTTCTTCTTCGGAACTGTCCCAGATATGTATGGTTGAGTTACCCGATTATATAACTGCCTGAAAGGAGTCCATGCCTACGTATTTAATTGCCTCTATATCTACCTTCCATATATTAGGACGGGCCGGCGCAACTGTTTGACAGTCAATCTCGGTCATGAGTTTGAATAATATGATTGCATGGTCACTTCTCCCTAGTGGTGGGAGGATAGTCATTTGACCAACGTCATCACCGTGTATGAAGACTAAACCTTAAAGAGAAGAAGAGTTTCTTAAGTCGTATCTTGTGGGATTTCTAATGTGTTAGAATAAGGCTAATTCACTCGAGGGTTCTAACAGTTTGCAATCGAACGACGTTATCGATTACCCTACTTCTAAGTTAACCCAGTTTATATACAGAGCATTAAAGTCGCCTACTACAAGGCTCTTACCCTTTTTACACCAGGACTTAAGTTTGCTTAGGAGCAAATCATCTGCTACACATTCTGGACTGCGATTTACTACAACTAATTCAATATCTTGCCGTCTACTTTTCAGCTTACATCGCACCAGTTTACATGTCCCTGAAACGTGTGCCACTGTCTCAGCTACTCTCATAGTTAGAGTACTTTTCGTGTACAGGATAACCCTGCCTCCCCTACGGTTTAATCTATCACTCCTACTGGTTAAAATACCAGTCAATTGAATTTCATTGTCTAATACTTTTGACGTTAACCAAGTTTCCGAGACAACACTAACATCCGGTTTATTTTTATCCACCATTGACTTGAGCTCCGCCATTTTATTTAGTAGGCTGCGAGTATTTGTGTAGCATACCTTTAAGTCTGTGAAGAACTTTCCCTTACCTTCCAGAGTGATTTGGGGATCGTATTGCTCCGAACTTTTGCAATATGAAAACCCTTAAGAACGAGGTTTCTTTCACCTTTTCGGCGGCGCTCATTTATTTCCACTTCTGCAGCTTGTTTTAGCTAGGATGAGATCCTCACGGACATATATTCCGGATCCAATCAGTTTACTTGAGTTACCTAGGATCAGGTTCCTTTCTTCAACCGTGGCAAATGTAACCTTCAAGAGGCGGTTTTTCTAAGGACTTTCAGAATCCTTTTTTGTCCCATTCTATAAAACTTACAAATGCCAACTCTTGAATCTGTATCTCGGAGTAGTTTGCTTAATAAGGACTTAATTTGACTGAGGTCGTATTTAAATCTGACATTTGGTTCCTTATCGGAAGATTCTCCTAACTTGTGAAAAATGACTGACCTCTCAGAGAGGTCTGTCTTGACACTCAGTGGAATTTTTGTTTCTGATACCGTCTCCTCCAATGACTTGCTAACCAGCTGCCTTTTGCCTACAGTGTTTTTCTTCTCATTTATTTTTCTCCGTACTGAAGTCCATTTATCATTACTCGGGACAGCCACACCAGGAGTATTTGAAACGGTGACAGTTTTATCCGGGTCTTCAATCTCCACTAAAGGTGTATGATTACCAATATCAGTATCAAGCGGCACTTCACTCCTCGTTAATATTAACGGATATTTCACTTTTCCGTCAATCACAGTCGGGTGTTCAACGGGTTAGGTAGCAGCATGTACTACACTGACACGTGCTTCATTGTCGGCGCTCGTGTTACCAGAGCAACCGCCATCAAACTACATTCCAAGAACTGACAAATTCCTTCATTTTATGGTCGGCTAAGCATAAGCTATCTCAATGTACCCACTGACTGGTAAAGATTCTAGAGAGAACGCAATGTAAAAGACATATTTGGGACTTGGTTTTTACAAAAGGTCTTGAAGCACTCAGATCATAATGCTCAATGTCAGGAACTTATACAAGTGCCTACGACCGGTTTGAAAATTGATTATGATAGGTAGTTGCGATGCGATAGTCATTTATATTCTGGATATCTTTCTTTTGATACTAAGGGGGGATAAAATAGAATATTTTCTCTACAGTTAACTGGAGGTTCAAATTCTGGCTGAACAAGATGTGCTTCAAGGAAAAAGTTTACCAAACTAATTTAACAAGAGTTATTGACAGAATACAAGGTCTAACACGCTGGATTGCCATAACACCGAGACAGAGACCTCCTTACTGGTATTTGTGTCTAATCTATTTACTGTGTTGCAAACTCTCTCTAGCTGGTTATTTGCTGTAACACTACCATGCAATCCTATCGCTTCACATCTTCTCACATGACGTTGGCAGGGCTTAAGGTCTGTAGTGACTTTTATGTTTTTGTATGGAGTTAATGAGCTAATATTTTGCTCGAATCAATAAACTGCTTAGCATCATTACAACAGCCAAACTTAAACAGGAGGGAGCATGTTGATCTCTCGGACTTTTTTCCAGGGCAGATGACTTTGCAGTTAACGTTCAGCATACTGCATCCTCTAAGGCAACTATCCCTTAACTTAGATGGGTGTGTGCGGCCGGGGAGATTTTACGCAATTGCACCGATATAGGACATCACTCTTTTCGTAACTTCTTTAGCCACAAACTCCAACATACACTGAGCTTTAGTGAGTTGCTCAAGAATTCTGTCAGTACCAAGGCCCCATATATGTGTGGGGAGTATCAGTTGGTTAAGTCTGCCGTTAATTTCGGCTAAAGGGTTTTGTAGCTGACAGATGTCAGTACTATATCCATCAGTGTTTTGGTGTGTACGAGATGAAATATTAGACACTTTAGTTTTTGAAATTTTGGATTTAGGCCTTGTTTAAACATGCTGTCTGGTAGACTGTGCTGAATTTTCGATGCACGTGGGTATTGTGGCTTGAATGTTAACTGGTCTTACCGTTGGCATACTTCACGAGAGATAGAGGGGTTGTAATAAGGAGAATCAGGTAATGATAGTTTTACTTGTAGGTAAGACGCATATAGTTCAGTAGAAAAAGGTTCGACATTGTCAGGCACTGAATCGTCAGTTATG